ATAGGTTAAACATAACGCAGATATACAAATAAAATCACAATTGGAGAATATGTAAGCTGATATCTGTGTCCATCTGCCTGTCAACGCCACTATTAAAGCCTAAGTAATCATATTATTTATATATATATATATTTTAATACAATAACCAACTGAATATATACTATGAAAAAAATCTCTTGAGAGAGATACAGACAGGACAATATTTTTCAACACTGGGAGAATTCTGCAATTAATGTTTGATGTAGAATAACAGAAAATACGGTTGAAAAAGAAGGGTGTTTTATCTGATGACCATCCTACTTTATCAGAGTTCCACAAAAATTTGTTTTAGCAAAGCACCAGAACATTCTTACCATCTACACTGCTTCTCCTGTCAACAAATTTTAGAATTATACAGTTCTGTCTTAAAAAGGAAATTTCACACTCAAGCCTTAATGAAATTGTAATGATTCTAGATTGGACAGTCTCCAGTGAGCCACAAAAGAAATCATCTCTTGTATGACACTAAATTTATACAGGACTCTTAATAAGCTAGGTAGTTAGACTTAATTCAATAAGCAATAAAGAACCAACTAAAGTTTATGAGCAATAGAATAATATGGTCAGAATGCCATGACAAAGAATTTGCAAATGGAATTAATTTATTTCCCTATATTTCTTAAAAGATAATTAATCCAACTGAGAAACCCAGGGAAAAATGACAGCAACTTTTTATTTAACTTAATAAGTGCTACTTGTTAGGAAATCTGTTTACTAAAGAAAAATGTATACAGTGAGAATAATTCCAAAGATTTTAAAAGGTATAAGGTTGAGGGCCCGGTGCAATAGTGCAGCAGTTAAAGTCCTCGCCTTGCAGGTGCCAAGATTCCATACGGTCACTGGTTCCGATCCCAGCAGCCCTGCCTTCCATCCAGCTCTCTGCTTGTGGGCTGGGAAAGCAGCTGAGGACAGCCCAAAACTTTGGGACCCTACACCCACATGGAGACCCAGAAGAAACTCCTGGCTACTGGCTTTGGATTGTCTCAATTCCAGCCATTGCAGCCGCTTTGGGAGTGAAACATGAGATGGAAGATCTTCCTCTCTGTCTTTCCTTCTCTCTGTATATCTGACTTTCCAATAAAAATAAACAAATCTTTAAGAAAAAGCCTAAGATACAAGGTTCAACATACAAATTATCCCTGTGGAATGTCCCTACACGTAAAAACAAAAAAAAATGGCACACCCTTAACATGGATTTTTCAAGCAACATTTAGAAATAATACAAAGGAGATTCCAGTACACAGTTTGAAATCCCCCAAATTTGAAGGCATAACAGTCAACTTTCCCAGATATAGGATTTGATACTGTAAGTGGAATTTCCTTCGCATTTCTCCAAGCAGTCATTTCTTTAAAAAGTCATAATTCCTTGAGAAAAAAAAAGTCAGTGTAAATTAGTGCATAATGTGTGGTGCCATTTATTTGATGTTTTAGTACAGGTAAAACTTGTCTCTTGAGGCACAAAGGAATGAAGATCAACAGAAAAAAAAGGCAAAACACTGTAAGAAACAGCTTATAATCTATCTCGATTGCGAGAATGACATGGATATATATATATAATTTAATTGTAAAAACATTCACATATTTGTCAATGCTCATCTATGTACCATAATCTATAGAATTTAAACTATACCTCAACTTAAAAATTCCTTAGATTTTAAAATTTCATTATTGTTAAAAGCCAATAATCCAAAAATATGTATACAAAATAGATAAACAAAGATGATCCCTGATGTGAAAACTTTATAATACTAAGAAAACTTGCAACTGGAAAAATTGCGAAATGAGCAGATAATCATAACCGCTAACAACACAACTTCACATCTCTTAAATTTCTCTCTATGCAACATTTTAGGAAAAAGTGTAAACTGGTGACATCAAAATACACAATAAGAAGAGCTCAGAGATGAAAATTGTCTTTAAGGAGAGAAAAGATATTGCTTGAAGTTGCATTTGTAACATATTTTACAACAGTTTCCAAAAACATGAATGTCATAGTAAGAATAAAGAAAACAAAGTTTTCCGTCAAATTACCCTTACAAAGGTTTCAATGTTGCAAAATTTGTTGAAAAGTTTAGGACACTATTCAGCAACTTTTTCTAGTACTGCTAGAAAAAAGAGTATGGAAATCAGCATTATACAATTACCAAGCCATTTCCCACATTCACAAAATTAATTCACAAAAAATTAAACAAACAAAAACCATCCTAACAAACAAAAAACCTATCCTTTATCCCCTCCTAAGACCTATTTATGCCACCTCATGAAAAAATAAGTATTTTGTCAAGTGTTGCCACCACAAAGAACAGTAGAAGACAGTTATAACCCTTTAGGTAAATGGAAAATGGGGTATAATATGAATTGAAGAATATCACATTCACTTTAGTCAAAATTACTAAAGAACATCCATTCTAATTCAGTTTTCAAAACTGACTGATATTCAGGTAAAACAAATTAAAATTTAAGACAATGGAAAGACGAAAGTGGTATTAATCTGTTTTACTACTCCATAGGTATGACTGATAAAATTATTTCTCAAAAAATTTTTATATTAAATGAAACAACATAATCCTTCCATCTTAAAATATTCCATGATAAAAATGTAGAGATTAAAAGACCCAAATTAACAATGATGAAATTATATAATGGTGTTCCAGTATAGTATGTTAAGCTGCTAATTGGTACACCTACATGTTTATAGAAGTGCTAGCTATTTAACTGCATCCTACTCCTGCCTGAAGCACCTGGGGAAATGGATGATGGCACTTCAAGTATCTAAGGTTCTGTCTTCATGTGTGACTAAACTGGATAGTTTCTGCAACGTGGCTTTAGCCTGCACCTGTTGTTATGACCATTCCAACAATGAAAGAGCAGACCAAAGATCTCTCCCTTTGCTTTTTTCATGTTCCACCATCTTTCATTCCCAAAAAAAATTAAATAAATAAATAAATACATTTCAGGGGAAAGGAAAAAAACTATTTTAGAGCAGACATCGTGAAACAGAAGGGCAAGTATTCACCTGCAGCTCATGAAGGACACCAGTTTGAATCCCAGCTGCTACAGTTCCAGTCCTGACTGTTCTACTTCTGATCTAGTTCCCTGCTACTCTGCCTGACAAAGTGCTGGTGCATGGGCCTTGGGCCCCTGAACCAACAATGGGAGACCTGGAAGAAGATCCTGGCTCTCAATTTCAGAGTACCCCATTTCCAGCCATTGCAGCAGTTTAGGCAGTGAACAGTTTCTCTGTCTCTCTCTCTAATTCAAATAGCTTTTTAAAAAAGCAATTGTGAAACTAGAAAATCTGACAGGAAAAATAGGAAAATTCATAAAATTCCATTACCTGGATTTATAACTATATAATCACAAATAATGCTTGAATTATTGTTAACCACTTTTGGCAGTTAAAAATTCGTATTACTGCAGCAAAACAATTATGATGTTTGTATATTACAAAAAAATAAATAAGTAAAATAAGATGTATGCATTTTGTTAAAAATAAAGCTTACTGGCCCAGCATGGTAGCCTAGCAGCTAAAGTCCTCGTCTTGAACGCCCTGGGATCCCATATGGGTGCCGGTTCTAATCCCGGCAGCTCCACTTCCCATCCAGCTCCATGCTTGTAGCCTGGGAAGGCAGTTGAGGGCAGCCCTAAGCTTTGGGACCCTGCACCTGTGTGGGAGACCTAGAGGAATCTCCTGGCTTCAGACTGGCTCAGCTCCAGCCATTGCAGCTGCCTGGGGAGTGAATCATCGGACAGAAGATTTTCCTCTCTGTCTCTCCTCTCTGTATATCTGCGTTTCCAATAAAAAAAATAATAAATTAATGAAGAAAAAAAGTAGGGAAAAGGATACACAGGGAGGAAAGCCATCTAAAGATGGAAGCAGAAACTACAGGGACATATGTCTGCACATCAAGAAATGCCAGGGACTGCCACAGTGCTAGCATAATATAGCATAGTGCTACACCACTATGCTATGGCATCCCTAGGAAATAAATTTATTCCCCAAGCACATTCCAATTTAGTGCCACTCTTTCAAAAAAGTTACAGCCTGTATTTTAATTCTGTCTAATTAATATTTGGTCATCTATTATATTACTTTTATATTACTTTTCAAAAGCACTATGCCAGCAATAATAATCCAGTTGTGACCTTAATGAATTTTTCCAACTTTGTTACAAGAACCTTACAAGTAGAAACTGTATCTAAAATGTTGTTCTGCTCAATTTACTTCGCCTAACAATATGCTCCATACAGCACATGATTTAGTAATTTTACATTTGTGGAAATAAAGAATTTCTAGAGACCTTTATCATGTACCAACTCAACTCTAAAGGAAGGCTTGCAGTGTTCGTGGAATCCGCTGGAAATCTACAGATTTTCTCTGCTTAAAATTCAATTTTGGGGCCCACTACCGTGGCCTAGTGGCTAAAGTCCTCACCTTGAAAGCACCAGGATCCCATATGGGCTCTGGTTCTAATCCTGACAGCTCCACTTCCCATCCAGCTACCTGCTTGTGGCCTGGGAAAACAGTCGAGGATGGCCCAAAGCCTTGTGACTGCACACTTGTGGGATACTTAGAGGAAGTTCCTGGCTCCTGGCTTCCTATTGGCACAGATCTAGCCATTGTGGTCACTTGGGGAGTGAATCACACGATGGATGATCTTCCTTTCTGTCTCTCCTCCACTCTGTATATCTAACTTTGTAATGAAAATAAAATAAATCAAAAAAAAAAAATTCAACTCTGGACTTATCCAGAAACTCTGTTTATTGTCAAAACACCAAACTGACATCTAGAACCAAAAAATATACTTGTAGAACACAAGTAAGATATGATTACAAGCAAAAGAAGTTGATTATATTATGTTTGATTATGTATTATAGCTGCTTAAGAAGTACTTACATAATAAGCTTCACTACTACCTGAAAGAAGATGTTAAACAAAAAATATCAGGCAAACAACTTACCTGGGTTCGTAAAATTTCAGTTTTTGACAACTGCATATCACCAGTCAATTCTTTCACAACAATGCCCAGTGGCTCTAGACGTTTGCTGAAGTAATTTGTCATCTCAGCGGCCAAGGCTTTCATTGGAGCAACATATACAATCTGGACCAAAGGAACACTAGTTTGATGAATGAGCCAAAACCACAATGTCATTTGTTTCACAGTAGCCAGTACAAATCACAATTTATTGTGAAATATGATTCTAGCTACTTCCAGTGAAAATCTTAATAGTGATATATGAAAAGTACTTATCTTGGTTGGATAAGTGTGCAGCTATTTAAAGGACAATGAAGTTTGTTTACACAGCCTTATCACTTTGAAAATTGGTTCTGCTTCAAAGCTAAATGTATTTTCATAGCTTTTCACAAGGGTAATAGCATTTCCATAATACAAGCAGAGACTGCCTTAATTGCAATGAAGTAGACCAAGCAGTAGTCCTTTTGCAATTTCAAGTACAAGGTCCTTAAGAACATCCAGGTTCCATATAACATACATGGTTGAATATTTACTGTTCATAATTATATTTTAAAAATCTGTTGTCCAGTTCATAATTTTCCTACCTTAAACTCATTCTTTTTTAAAACACCCTGTTGAAAATGTTGGCGAATTTCATGCAAGACTGTAAGCATTGCAATGTTGGTCTTTCCGGCACCAGTAGGGGCACAGATCAGCATATTCTCATTAGTGTTGTAGGCTGTCTCAAACACTATTGATTGAATTCTATTCAGTCTTCTCATTCCTCTAAAAGCCAGCTGTCCAATCTACAACAAACAAATAAATAAATAAAAATGACCACACTACAGACAGTATTAATGTAAAAGACCCACAAAAACATCAAATAAAAACATTTAATTCCTTTGTTAAAAAAAAACTCAGTACATCCTGTACATGCAGTGTTTGCAGTTCAGAGCAACCAAAAAAAAATTATACAATTCTCATACATTTTGCAACTGTAATTCACTTACTTTGAAAAACATGTTAAGACTACACATTTATCATTCTAGACTCTTTTTTTGGTAAAGATTTATTTATTTTTATTTGGAAAGGAAGATATACAGAGAAGAAGAGAAACAGAGAGAAAGATCTTCTGTCCGATGATTCACTCCCCAGGTGAGCGGCCGCAATGGCTGGAGCTGAGCCGATCCGAAGCCAGGAGCCAGGAGCTCTTCCAGGTCTCCCACTCAGGTGCAGGGTCCCAAAGCTTAGGGCTGTCCTCAACTGCTTTCCCAGGCCACAAGCAGGGAGCTGGATGGGAAGAGGAACTGCTGGGATGAGAACCGGCGCCCATATGGGATCCTGGCAAGTTCAAGGTGAGGACTTTAACCACTGTGCTATTGCGCTGGGCCATAGATACTTCTTAGGTATAAAACAATGACACTACAGTGTATTCAGGTAGTTAAATATATCACAGTTAAATAAATATGCAAAATTTGCTGTCTATAAATTTTTTAAATACATACAAATATTAAGTGCTAAATGATGTAAACAAATATAAGAATTTTCAGTTCATATTTACACATTACATGATCACACTGCACTTTATTGATGTAATGATTAACAAAAGAATATATAAAAAAATAGTCCTAAATTAAACAGAAAAAAAGTAAGAAAATTAGCAAAAAAAAGATACGCTTGCATGTATCAGTGTTGGTGATAACATAGTTTTGCCAAATTTGTTTCATGCTTTGTCAAACCAATGGTCACAAATATTGAACTACTGCAGTATTAATTATCTGTGATTACTCCTAAAATTTACCACAATGAGTGAAATGACCTCCAAAAGTCAGAGATCTGAAATACTTCCTCTCCAAAAGATGCAGAGCACATGGTATGAAAGTCAACAGGGCTCTTCAGCCAATTGAACAGTACTGTTAACTCTCACTTTAATAAAAATCTTTTAAAAATATGAAGAAATTATAAGAAAATGAGGCCTAGAGAAGTAATACTTTTCCCTCACTCAAGCCCATATCTCTAATACTGACATAGATGGGATCTGAATTGTTTCTCTTAGCTTAAATAAAAAGGACTATCATCTTTCTGTCTCTCCTTCTCTCTATAACTGCCTTTCCAATAAAGATTTTCAAAAAAATTTTTTTTAAATGAAATAACTTGTTGACTAAAAAAAAAAAAAACAATAAAAAAAAACCAAAACAAAAGATATGTCCTCAGAAAATACAACAGTATTTTTACAATCACTAGAGGGCTCTGGAACCTAAAATTTTATTTATAAGCTGCTCCAAGCAGATGATTGACTACATTGTGGATAAGACATTTTGTTTTAAATGATGTTCAAATACATTCAATTTGCTCTTTATGCTAATAAAAAATTTTTAAAATTGGATACTTAAATTATGTTGAAAATGTCTTAAGTTCAAAAAAGATAAAAGGAAGAACAGTGTGGTTATATCAAAATTCGTCATTTGGGGCCGGCACGATAGTGTAGTGGTTAAAGTCCTTGCCTTGAATGTGCCAGGATCCCATGTGGGCGCAGGTCCGAATCCCAGCAGCCCCGCTTCCCATTCAGCTCCCTGCTTGTGGCCTGGGAATGCAGTCGGGGACTGCCCAAAGTCTTGGGACCCTGTACCCAGGTGGCAGACCTGGAAGAAACTCCTGGCTTCAGACTGGCATAGCTTCAGCCTTTGCAGCTGCTTGGGGAGTGATTCACTGGATAGAAGATCTTCCTCTCTTCTCTTCTCTGTATATCTGCCTTTCCAATAAAAATAAATATATCTTAAAAAAAAACTCCTCTTTTATTCATTTTGCTTTACATAGTACAAATACTAAATGTTTTATTTATACTTCATACATATACTATTATGCAATTACATGAACTTAACAATCACTGCTTATAAACTGTCAGTATTTTTCTAAGTGAAACATACGTATTGATTTTATACATTAACCAATATTAAAAGTTTAACTGAAATTATTTTTCAAAGTATGTTGGTCAGCATTTGCTTCTAAACAAAAAGCTAAGTGGCTCATGATCGTTTGAATGAAGTGTGGAACTATGGTTAATCCAGCTAATCATTCTAAATACAAATTTTACCTTTTAATTAGTTTTAACTGCTAAATATAATCAACAGATCAAAACCAAGTTTGGTCTTGCAAGTTTCATCCTAAATCTACTTATCCACATAGATTTTAATTTCACTAGACTACTATTTTACAGAAACAACACAACTAATTTATAGAATTCTATTACAAATGTATGTGTAGAAGTTTTCCATATGAAACAGTGGCTATGTACAGCACTTTGAAGTGCACAATATATTTTTTAAAAGATTTCAAATTATGAAATCTGTCTGCAAAAACTAAAACATATAATAAGTACAGAGTAACTGTTTATATTAATCATGAAAATTTATTTTGCCCATGAATTATTTTTTGCAAGTTACTGTGCCACTTAACACCTAATATTAATCAGGTATCAAAACAGATCCAAAAGTATTTAATTTAAGATATTTAAGATATTCTGAGAGTAGACATTTACATTTAAGCATTTAAGAGATAATTATGTAGATGCATATGAAAGTAATTTTCAAGTTTGTTTTCTCCATTTTTATGTAGCATGTGATTTAGGATCAAAATTTCAGAACTAGAGATGGCAGTAACTCCGGACATTCAGTCCAATCTCCGTGAGCTTCAATCTCTGGAACGCCAGCTCTAGAAATCCTAACTGTACCCTATAGTCTACTTAAAAAAAATCACAGGATGAAAAATAAAACTATTTACATGAATACATAGTTAAATAAATCTGTAAGTTTTCATTAGATGACTAGATACTTTTCTTTTAGATAACTAGATATGATTTCACTTAAAGGTATTTGATTACTTATTGCTTTGTGTTTATATGTTTGTATATAAAATTATTTTCATCAATCACTTTAAAATGGGTAACTATGGACCTTACTAACAAAATATATTTAAGCAATTGGGTCTTTCGTTCACAACTGCCATTGAAATCCACTAATTCATTTTATAAGTATTTACTGAGTGCCTCCCCTAAGCGCCATTAATTCTTTAAACAGTCAAAAAAGTAGACAGTCATTTGCTGCCATGCATTTGCTTCCTGGTGAGAATAGAAGACCAAAAAAAAAAAAAAGAAAAATCAACATTTTAACTAATAAACAAATAACTGATGTCAAGTATTCACAGCAGAAAACGTTCATAGATGGTGATATAGGGAAGAAAGAGATAAAGCAGCTACTTCAAATTAGTTTTCTGGAAAGATGCCTCCAGAGAGGTGACCTGAATGGAGAATAAAATGACAAGAAGCAGACCAATAAAACAAATTGAAAAGTACAGCACAATCTAGGCAGAATGAAGATCTAAAAATGAGATCACTAAGTCAGGACTAAGTTTATATGTTCCAAGAGCTATACAGAGATTATACTGACCGAGCAAGTGGCCAGTCAAGAAATGGGAAATGGAGATAGGAAGCATATTATGGTGCCAGAGTCATAGGTCACAGTAAGGTTTCGATTTTTATTTTCAATATAATGAAAATCTCTGCAAGATTTTACATAAGGAGTTCTACAATATGCCTCATGTTTTTAAAATGGTATCTGGTTATCCTAAGGAAATAAATTAGGGAATGTCTGAAAACTGTAGCAGTTGTACAGGTGAAGGATGATGCTGATTTACAACGGAATCAAAGCAGTAGAAATAGAGGTATGAAGCACAGGCTGTATATTTCACACATAGCCAATAGATCTGACGGTGATTTAAATGTAAGAGGACAGAAATAAAGGAAGGGATAAATCAAATATAATTTTTTCTTGTGTATACAGATGGAAGTTTTTCTGATGATACGAAGTAGAGAAAAAAAATGAACTTTCTGAGGGGCTGACTATATAGTCAAGCAAAACATTAAACAAGCACCCGCACCTGAATTTAGAGGGCAATGCCAAGGTCATAGAGTTTTCTAACATTAATTCTAAAGATGTCTCCTATTGTACTAGATTAGGTGAACAACAGTAAAACTTTGGGTTCTGGTAACTCCCTGCCTGCCTGAAACCATTGGTACTGCATGGCTCTCAATCTGATTGGAGGATGAGAACTTAAAACCCCTGACTTTTGCCACTTATTCAGTGGCTCCTGGAATATAGTGGGAGTTGCTGTCACTAAGGATGAGAAATAGACTCCTCCTAACATCCTACACTTGGGTCCAGTGTAATCTCTCCCTTACTCTATAACAAGAGAGATCTCCCATCTGCTCACTCCTCAACTGGCATCAATAGACTGAGCTGATCTAAAGCTAGAAGCCAGGAGCTTCTTTCCAGTCTCCCACACGCATGCAGATGCTGAAGGACCTGAACCTTCCCCACTCCCGCCCATGCTTTCCAAGGCCATCAGCAGGTAGCTGGATGGGAAATGGAGGAGCAAACTGGTACCCATATGGGATCTCGGCCCTTGCAAGGTAAGGATTTAGCCATTGAGACATTGAGTCAGCAGGCCCTGCTTATATTTTTTATATATGATTAACATTGTGTGAATATTCAAAAATTCAGTTCAAAATAATTATTCAAGGAAGGCAGCTGAGTAAGAATGTCACATATATAAGTAAGCACAAACGCTACTCACAAGAAGCAACAAACAGAATATTTAAAAATAGGGGATTAGAGTTATTAATGTATGACATATGAGACCAAACAGTGGTCAAAACAATGAAGATATTAGCTTGTGTTTCTTTTATAATAGAAAATTATTTCTGAAGGGGATAGAAGCCATCTCGTAAAAATAAATAAAACATTATAAA